CCACACCTGGCTAATTTTTTTTTGTATTTTTAGTAGAGACAGGGTTTCACCATGTTAGCCAGGATGGTCTTGATCTCCTGACCTCATGATCCGCCTGCCTCAGTCTCCCAACGTGCTGGGATTACAGGCGTAAGCCACCGCATCTGGCCTGTACAATTTTAAAACAAGAAGAAACCCACTTTTCACTTAGGAAAGAGAGCATTGCAACATTCCATTTTACTGAATAAAAGAGACCATTTCAAACGTACTGTCTTTGTTTCCTGGAATTTTTTAAAATTCTGCTTTTAAAATCAAGTGAGGAAGCACAACATTTTTGCAACCCTGGCATAAATGTTAGTGTTAAGATTTTACTACACCACATCCTTATTTGGTAGGCATCCATGAGGAAACTGGCCCAGGTGCTGTTACTGATAAAACAGGTTAACATTCAGGGACACAGATGAAACACAAAGCCATTACCCAAGAGGAATGCTCCTTCATCTGGTGTTGATTGCTGTGAGGGCCACCGGCATGGCCACGCCAAAAGCAATTCTGGCAGAGCTGATAGTTGTGGCACTGCTGGCATCGGTACCGGAAACCCATCATACTCTCACACCGGCAGTAGGAGCACTCCACGGGATGGAAGACTTGTGGACAGGAGAGAAAAGGGGAAGAAAAAGGGCAGGAGAGAAGGGATGGAATAAAAGAAGAAAGAATAAATTTTCATTTGGAGAATAAAGTCAATACAGAGGAATACCAAATCTAATATAAAAACAAAGGTAAACACAAAATTAGAGCTGGATGCGATGGCTTGCCCTTGTAATCCCAGCACTATGGGATGCTGAGGTGGGCGGATCACTTGAGACCAGGAGTTCGAGACCAGCCTGGACAACATGGCAAAACCCTGTCTCTACTAAAATTACAAAAAAATTAGCTGGACATGATGGCACATGCCTGTAATCCCAGTTACTCAGGAGGCTGAGGCACGAGAATCATTTGAACCCAGGAAGCAGAGGTTGCAGTGAGTGGAGATCACGCCACTGCATTCCAGCCTGGGTGACAGAGCAAGACTCTGTCTCAAAAACAAAACAAAACACAATTACAACTAAAGAATCTAAATTGTCTGCGAGTCTAACTAGCCATTTACTAGGAAAAAAAAAAAAGAAAAGATTTAAGACATCAGAAAAAAAATTCAACACAGACTACTGATTCTAATCTAATCATTCTAGTGTACTATCAAGGGCAATACACAACTGTATGTTACAGATCACTATTTATACTTTTAAATGTTGGTAGCATAATTGTTTTCTCTGACAATTCAACTCTGAACACAAGAAAAGGAAGTTAATAGAAAAGAGGGATAGGCCAGCCGTGGTGGCTCACGCCTGTAATCCCAGCACTTTGGGAGGCCGAGGCGTGAGGATCACCTGAGGTCAGGAGTTTGAGACCAGCCTGACCAACATGGAGAAACCCCGTCTCTACTAAAAATATAAAATTAGCTGAACATGGTGGTGTGTGCCTGTAATGCCAGGTACTCGGGAGGCTGAGGCCGGAGAATTGCTTGAATCTGGGAGGCTGAGGTTGCAGTGAGCCAAGATCGCACCATTGCACTCCAACCTGGGCAACAAGCGAAACTCCGTCTCAAAAACAAAAACAAAAAAAAAAAAGAAAATGAAAAGAGGGATAGAATACTCAAATCTTCACTGAACAACTCTTTCTAGCATTATATATGTAAGACCACAATCTTATTTCAATTATAGGGACTTCTAGACCTGCTTCCAAAAATATATATTAACTAGTGAATCAAGACTCAAAAAACATTGAGTATGAGGTGAGAAAAACTATATAGCAAGATTATATAACATTATCACTAGGGACCAGAAGAAAACTAAACTTAATAATGAGAAATCCAAAGGGTATTACTTCTAAGAAATTCAGTTTTTTGCCATCAAAGTGTTTCTAAGGAATGCTGGAAATGCTAATTAAGAGCATGTGTTCAAATTAACTATACAGCCTAGTATAGTCCCTCCAGAGAACAGGTCTCCCTCAATCTCAGCAAACGTCAATGAGGTCAACATCTGTGCAGCCAGTATTTATAGTTCTAAGTAATTTAGGTTAATATTAAAAGATATATGTATGTTAGTATTAAATTATCAAATACATTCTGATAATTTGGGTTGAACAAATATGTCTATGTGATTCTCCTGTGTTCTCTTCCAAACCAGTCAAGAGCCAATCCTTAGTCAGTGGAATGGGTGACAGGTGGAAAAGTAGAGAACCAGAATGATGAAAAAATTAACAAGTGTGTTGGGTCAATTATAAATAAGAAAGAGAAGGACTGTTCAGGTTCTGGTAAAAGTATTATTTTGGTAAAGTGCATCACTTAGTAGTTACCTTCTTATATACTATACACTTGGATTAGTAAATCAATGTATAAAGTGCAACTTTTGCTTACGTGAATAAATATTTCTCCTTATGCATAGTTATGTCAATATAATGTCAATATAATTCATGATGAACTTCATAAAGCCCAAACCAAAAAAAACCATAAATACCATAATTTTATAATTTGTTTCTCACCATTAAAACTGACATACTGAAAAATATTAGTGTGATAGGTAACCTTTTATTTCTAGATATTTTAATTATTTTATAACATTTCTGTCTCTGATAAAAATACTACAAACCACATACATTAAGAATGTAATCAATAAATTATATACTTCGTAAAAGTCACAATAAAATGTTCATAGGCATATGGATAATAATATGTCATATATCTTGACAAGTGAGGCTCTTTCTACTTGGTATGGCAAATACAAAATGATTTTATGAAAATCAATTGGACATAAAACTATTAAAACAAGGCTATAAAAGCATTGCTCTCCAAAATTTAAATCTATCCAAGAATCTTGTTTTAAAAATTGTGCTGTTTTAGTCTAGAAAGAGTCTGGTCCTTTAAGAAACGAATCCTTAATCTGAGGTACTTGTGAACTAAAGCCATAGTTGGGTAAAAGGCTGAGAAAAATTTATTTTAAAGTATGGATATGAGAGCAAGAAAATAAAAACAGTATGGACGTTTATTAAAAGCGGACTCTTGGCTCTTCCTTGTTCTCTTTTGAGGAATGAAGAAAGGCAAGAGCCTGGAGAAAGGGAAGGTTACTAGAAAAGCGATGGCCTTCCCTTTAACAAACTCCAACAACCTAAAGGAGGAGATAAACTGATGGCAAAAGCAGGAAAAATTAAGAAGTCACTAAGAGATAAGTACTATTTTAACTCAAAGCAAAACAAAGATTTATGTCAAATTACTGGGAGGGACACCAAGAATAGTTTCAAGGCAAAATGGTAAAGGAAAAAAATGGGGGAAAAAAGGGAACCCACTGTTAAATTATATCTTGGCTATTTTTCTTTAAATTATTCCAAAATAATTATAGTTTTAGCAGCTGATATAGCATATATACAGTTTTTTAGAGCTATGAGTTTGATAAATCAAAGAGGAAACCGGAAGTAATGGCTAAAAAGCAGACGGGCTCAAACAGAAAACAATCATCTGGAATCTTAGGCAGGAAAAGTCTATAGTTCAAGTTGTATGACCTGATATGACTTCTTGGTATCCTTTCTTGTTTTTGTTTTTT